GGGCCCCCCGGGGCGGGGGGGCCCCGGGCGCCCCCCCCCGCCGCTCCGTGCGGCACCGACACCGCGAGAGGGGACAGCGAGGGGGATCCGAGCAGAGGCTGCAGCTCTGCTGGGCTCCCGGGGCACAGCCGGGAAAAGGGGAGCGCGGGGATCCGCAATGCTGGGGATGGGGGCAAAGAAACCCAGGGAGACCCAGCGGGAGCCCCGGGAAAGGGGCACGGGAGCAGCCGGAGGAGCAGGGAGGGCAGGAGGCGCCCCGAGCCCAGCCCCATAACCAGGATCCCCTCCTCGGCCACCTCTCCCTCCGCGGCTCCGCTCCTCCGTGGGCTCCTCCTTATTTAACACGGGCTGCTCCTGCAGGGAGCTTCGTTACCAACCTTCGCACCAACCCCGCGGGGCTCCAGCCCTTCCCCACGCGCCCGCCCGCCCCGGCACTCGCCATTCGGCACTTACTGTAGTCAGGAGGGGTTTTTTTCCCTGATTTTTGTTTCATTTGTTTTCTTTGGGAATTAAATTAAATGGGGGGTTATTTATTTCCTTTTAATTTATTTTGTCATATTTTTGTAAGACCTGCAGAAATGCAATAAAGTTATATTTCAGCAAGTCCGAGATGTGCTCATTTATCGCCCCCAGCAGCGCTCGTGGCACTTGCGTTTAGGGAAAGGGGGTCTCCGTGTCCCTGTTCCCGGGGAAGGTGGAAGGGGACATGGGGAATGCTGTCACCAAGGCTCAAAGCAGGGAAAAAGCTACGGGATGGAGCGAGGAGCAGGACGGGCCTTTCCGATGCTCCCTGGAGGGGCCGCCTGGAACACGCGGCCTAAAAATCCAATTGCAAAGAGAGGCTGGAAGTGGCGGCCAGGCCTCCGCGGCGCTGCGCAGCCGGCTGCTCCGAACGGAGCGCGGGAGCCGGGAAGCGGCCGCGGATGATGCGGAGGGACCAGCGGGAACGCGCGGGTTCGGAACGGGGCGAAGCGGCGGCAGCGCCGCCCCCGGTGCTGCCACCCCAGGACCCACCTCCGCGCTCCAACCAGCAAAGGGCCGAAGCCGCCCAAACTCGGGAAGCATCAACAGCTCCAGCGGACCCCAGGAAACACGTTTATCCCTAGAACGACCTAATGTAGCATCACACATACGAGGAGTCTCACTTGGGCAAATCTGGGGACATTCCAGGAACGTTTTGCATAAGAAAAGAAACAACTCGGTGTTAAACAGAATTTGAAAGCTGATATTTTATTCCCATGTTTCAATTACAAAATCGCTCTTCCCCACCAAGATTTAATTTTCAGTGTTCAGGATTTTTTTTTCCAGAAGTTGAAACAAGGAAATGAGATTCCAGCAGTCCTACTGTTCCTCTAACATTAGACCCTCCGGAAGACGCGGGCGGTTGACACGGGGCAGCTCGGGAGCCGCGGAGCAAGCGGAGGAATTTCCGGGATGCAGCCGCCCTCCGGGCGCACGGACCTGCCCGCGCACCCAAAACAGCCCCCGGGTGCGTCCAGCCCGCTCCGAAAAGCGTCTCCCGTGTGTCCAACAGCGAAGGAGGCAACGCGCAACCCGACGCAGCCGCATCGGCCCCGGCCCCTCCGGCCCCGCGATTCCCGCCTGCCGGGCTGGCACCATCAACCTGGAAAAGCCAAACAGCCTCCCTGCTACACACACGCCAGTGGGAACCATAGGAACAGAACAACGTGAAGTTAGTGGTATATAAACAACACAGGAAGTAAGAAGTGATAATACGGTTGATAACTACAGTGCTTTAAACAATGTTTATCTAAAAAAAAAAAAATCCTCCAGACTTCTGCTTGGTCTTTGCCCTTAAGGCCAGTGTCAAGGCGCTCACCAAAAGAAGAGTAAAAAAAGAACTTTGAAATTATACTTACTATATCTGCCTAGTATTTAGTGAAAATATTAAGATGATGTCCTAATTGTGGGATTTTCCCTTGCCCTGCTGATGCTTCGTGTCCTTTCTAGGCTAAGGAAACACTTAAAAACAATCTGACATAACCACGTGGTCCTAAAAGCCTGTTTGCTTGCAGTGAAATGCACCTAAAAACTTGTCAAATGCTCCTGTGGTGACGGGTTTGAATGAACGGCAGCCCGGGCCAGCGTCACACGGAACCTGCTCCTCCGGCCACGCGGGGTTTGGTACCGGGGACCCCGGCACAGCGCAGCCTCCGCGCGGAATTCCGACCAGGAATTCCAGGCCTGCAGGGTCTCCACAGCCTCCACGGACAGAAACCGCCGGACAGCCGGAGGTGCCACCGTCACCCGAGGATTTGGGAGAGGGAAGCAACCCTGGAAGCTTCCAGAGCCAACCACCCGTTCAGAAAGCGAACACAGACCTTACCGCTCAGATACAGGTACCCAGGAGCTCACAGCTACGAAGCCAGGCATGTTATAAAGAATTATCCTCTTTCAAACTCTTTCCTTCTCCAAGTCTTTTGTGTAGGAAGGAGATTTTTGATTATTCTTCCTCTTAGAGAGAGAGCAAAAAAAAGCCATATGATATCAAGAAATAAGCTAAGCAGAACTTTAGTTTTCCAGCAGGTCAGTCACAAGTGTATCTTTACGTCAGGAAAAGGCAGTGACCAAGCTGGCAATGCACTAAAGTTACCACCATGCACCGAGCTGCTCCCCGCGGCACCCAGCGCTCCGCAGAGCCTCCCAACAGGCTGGGCTGCCACTCGCCTCCTCCGACACCAAAGAAACGCATTTCTGCTGCTTTGACTTTAGACAAAAGAGACACTATGCAACTAAATACTCATCTCTGACAAGCATCTCAAATTTTCATTAAAAAAACTAAATCTTTAGTATACATTGGTAACAGAAACAATAAAAATACCACTATGCAGACATATACAAAAAACCCCTAAGGGTCACTAAATTTCAGTCACTTTGTAACAAGAGAATCAGAAGTTAGAGGAGTATTAGGTATTATACAAACAGTGCAGTTAGCAAAGATGCACCTTGTTTGTTTGTTTTGTTTCCTTTTTTTAAATGCACTAAGGCACCAGGAAGTCAGAGTTAGGCAAGATCTTCCGTGCAACATTCGAACCTGACACACTTACCATGAACTGAACAGCTGTGGAGAGGATGGAAGTGCAACGGCCCCAGGACGGCACTTGGGGCAGCAGCAGCAAAGCAGGTTGGGGAAGGAGGAGGGAAGAAGGGAGCTTTCACTCCGAGTTGGATAGGATGTAAGAGGATCCACTGTGGGCATCAGAAATCACACAGCCACCAACGCAAAATAAAACCAACATGGTTTGATACTTAGAGCTGCATCCCTTCAAAAACTTGTTGCTCCATCACTTCAAAACAACTTTTGGGAGAGGAAAATAAAGACAGCAATCCTTTTTATCTTGTACCTACTAAAAATACTTGGAATATATCAAAGGCTCCTTTAACAAGGTCATTTTTAAAGACACAGAGGGAACAAAGACGGGGATTTACAGCAGGAAGGAACTGCCAACTCTCTTTAATGGTACATCACTCTGTCTGGCAGAGAAGTCAGCAAAGCTCAGACCTTGCCATATAAATCAAGAACTATACAGCATTTTACAACTTTAAAGCACTGTACAAGCATTAGTCTGCCAGGCCGCAGCTCCAGCTCTGCTGCGCACACGGATTGGTCACACTTCACCACCAGCTTCCTCGTTTGGTGTCTTACAGCTCTTCACAGGATTCTTCCATTTCAGCTTTAGGCACATCCTTGTGAAGCTGGATGTGAACATGGCATCTTCAGTTAACATCCTGCATTTTGCACAAAAGCACTTTTTGACAGCGTAACTTTGGGAGGAGGCCTCTTGCAAATGCCAGTAAATTACAAGGAAATCGCAGTATTTTTATCTTCACCAACATAGTTGGCATCTTCAGTGTCATCCCATTACTTTTAAGGTTACTGCCACAGCAAAAAGGTAACTTTGTGAGGCAGAAGGAAAGGTCTAAACTATTCAGTGTTAACTTTAAGTCAAATTCGCTTGCTGTATGAGAAACTTGGTGCCTCGTGCAAGTTCAAAACACAACAGGAGCTGTGCCCTGCTCTTCCCAAAGTTCCGCCTCATAACATATAGTCGTCAACAACAGTCTATCTCCCTTCATATTGTCTTTGCCCCCAAAGCTAAACACGTGGTGTTGGAAAGGAATGTGGTGAAGGGGATAATAGAAACCCTGTCCTCAAAGCTTTTGGCCATTCTAGTCATTCTGAACTAGGTTTATCCAGGATTTCTAGAAAAACATTCACACGATTTCTTGAATTGGTGTTTAGGATTTGTGAATGAGGAAAAAACACAACTATAAATGCAACAGTTTAAACTAACACAGCGTGAAGTCAGCTTCTTACATTAAAGCAGACAAGACATCATTACTAAGCTACACCTTTCCCGTGCTGTTCAGGTGAAGATGCTCATTTCCTCTTAGTCTCTCAACTTCTGAATCCACCTAGATGACCTGCGGGTCTCTATTTCGGCTCCTACAGAAGAATCACTGAAGGGTTACAGGTAACAGGCACTGAACTGTCACAGTCCAAAAGAGATTGGTCTTCAACAGAGACCACGGAAGCTCACATTTTGATCAACTGTAAGTCCTGTGCTCCACTCCAGACACGCTGACATTGCAGGAAAACACAACGTACCATTATTCACAGCTGACAGTCGAGACAGAGACGAGGTCTGGGTGCCAAGGAACTCCCAGCCTGATCAGCCAAGGTCTGACTGCAGGTGCCTACTCAACTCCATTCCATCAGCTGCTGCTTAAACACACTGTTGATCAAATACTCAGAATAGGATCAAGGTATCCTTTTATTCCAGCGGAGAAGTTGCACATATCAGTTCGCTCAAGACCAAAAGACTGTTAGATTTTAAGAGAAACAAAAGCAACACGCCTTTCACTTGAATTCTCCATGACTGCTGATGCACGTGATAATGAATGCTGCCAAACAACCGCGGCCCTCACAGTACAGGCCAAAAGAATACAACTGATATATCAAGTTGACAACACTAACACTATTATCAACATAATCCTAAATGACACCCATGATTTCATAGTGCAGTGCCGATTTCGGAATATTTGAGAAAGATACTGAGGCTCCACACTTATGGCTGGACTGGGCACATCCAAAGAGTTTACCACGGTAATATATCACTGGATACATGAATCAGAAAGCCTACAGCACTGCAAGGTTCTGTAATAACCCACATCTCCTACCCAGGCTTCCATGGCTAGATGTGGTTGATTGGGTAACAGATTCAACGAAATCTGCAAAAGTGACAGTGTAGGTTTTTAGAAAGGAGGAACTAAGGTTATACTACAACATTTACTGAATTGTTCCACCATTGCTCCACAAGTTTTACGGCATAAATAAAAAACAGAGAAAAAAAAATAAATAGATTGGCTCCTACGAAGTTTGAAGTGGTTTGGGCTGCATAGTGGAGAGGTGAGAGATGGGGGCAAGGGGCAAAATTTACACACTTTGAGACAAAACAGGAAGCGCCTGCAAAGTAGTAGAGGAGAAAGCCAAGAGTTTAAGTGTCCTCATTCATATCCTGGCTGTCTGTCCGAGCGATTTTCCGTGGAGGTGCCGAATTCTCACCTTCTATTTCCACTTGCTCTTGATCTCGCTTCTTTGCTGCATTCTGTTTGGACAGAGAAAGCTACAGTGAGACTCTGAAGCATTATATTCTAGTGGGAGCTAACAGAGCAACAAATCTCTTTCCAAATGTTTGGGAGGGAATACAGTTCTGTGATGAACTGGCAGACACACTCTAGCAAACACTAAAGAGGATTTTGCCCACAGCTGAAGTGTGCTCCTTCCAGACTGTTCTTCAGATTTGAGGGTAGGGCTGGAAGGCAAATCATTGCTCTCAGCATCTTTTATTTATAGATCTCGACTACTTCATAAACATGAATAAGATGCTTTCCCTCCTGCTGCTCTGATTCAGTCTCTGAACTTAGCTAAATCTCGAAGGCTTTTGTCACATACAAATAGCTTCTTTTCAGCTTCAAGGCTCCTTATATTTTTTCAGCTCTCCACACTCGACGGCTGATTCTTCACCCCATTCCACATGGCGTTTCAGAGTTCTCACAGACCAGAGCGCCTCGCTTCCTAATCTTAATCCTAATCTTAGTCTTCCGAGACTGCACTCGGACTTATCCGCATGCTCCTCGATGGGAATTCTGGCTTTGTATCCAAGCTACCTGCACAGCCTCATTAACACACTTGGTGTTGAGGCCTCTCACGAGCTCACACGTCTTCTCCTAGCAGCCCTGGGAGGTAACGGGAGCTTTGCCCTGGCTGTACAGCTGTACAGGAGACTCATTTGTCCAGGGCACAGAGGAGCCTATGGCAACTCAGAAAGGCAACCAAAGTCTCCCAAATTCCAGACAGAACACTAAATGGAAACAGAAAGAAAAAGAACGGGGAGGAAAAAAAAAAAAAAGGGCAGAGTTGCCTTCATCTTTTGACGAACTGCAGTTTGTGAGGACTGGATCACTTTAATCATCAATATCTTGGTTATAAACAACATTCAGCTCTAGCAGTCACAATCAGCACCTCAAGACAAGACATTAATATTAAGAAGAGACAACCATACCTTTTTGTCCCACTGCTGATGTAAATAACGCAAAAGTATATTTGTTTTTTCTGTTACTATGACTGCCAAGGAAAAAGAGGAACATGCTGAAGTCATTTTAAAAACAACTTTTAAAGCTTCAACATTAACATCACTTCCACATGCCACAGCCTGGTCCTTTTTCAATATAAGGACTGTATGCAGGACCCACCACCACTTGATAAGGGCGGAGGAAAGAAACTCACAAAGCCCAACAACCAAGGCTAATCGCTATGGCAACAGGTCAGTAGCATTACCTGATCCGGCATTTAAAATAAGTGAAATTACAGATACAACAGATTTTAATATTTGAAAAGAGTAAAGTTTAAAAAACTTCAGACTTACTTTGTTCAGATGGATATTCTCTTGTGGGAAGATACACCGAAGGTCTTCTGTTCTATAGGAGAATTAGAATAATTACAGAGCAAACACAGGGAAAAAAAAATTATTTAAACTTAGCTAAGCCAACCCCATTAACCACAACCACAAATGCTCTGTGACAGTCTGTCCTGTTACACCATACTGAGAAGCTTCAGTCTTTTTCATATGTTAAAAAAGTCCATTCATCATTTTTTTAGACTATTGCTAAACTAAAGAATTACACAGAAAGGAAAGAAAACATCACAGATTTGGCTTGGCTGATACGACGTCGTATCCCTCACCAACGCAGGCAGGAAATATTTCTTGCCAATCTCAACTTACAAGCTACCAGCTATATGCACACATATTTCTGAAGGAACAAAACATTCATTTAAAGTCTGTTTCACTCTAGCATCTTTGAGCTGGGCAAGAAAACTACTTCCAAAGCACAAAGAGGTTACAGATTAGATTCAATACTTACTGATGCTTTACATACAGAGTCTGCATGAAATCTACTGAAGTTGCTTTTGTTGTAGACTGGTAATCCTTTCAAAAAATCTGCCTAAAAAGAGACAGAGCACAAACAAAGATGTAGGGGAAGAAGGAAAGGGTGATATTCTGGTTGCTTGCTTTGTGCTGATTCTCAAAGGAGTCAAAAAGGTCATTAAGTAATGCAGGATTTCAAAGAATGTTGCCAGGTCCTATATAGTGAGATACCTGAAAAAAACCCAAAGCTGTTTTTGTAAAGTAGGTAAATCCAGTTTCTGTGTTTGGCTCATTATTATACTTCTCAAGTTCAGTAATTGAGGAAGAGAGCTGTTGACTGAATCTCTTTTGACATAAAAGATGTAAGACATAAAAGACAGACATCTCTCCAATAGGTTGAGCTCTGAAACAAGGAAGCTCTGCTGGCAAAACACCACAGAACACACGAATTTACTGCAAGTTATCGGTACAAACCACGATCCCACATGCTGAACTCTGCCACAGCTACTGCGGTGACTGAAATCCTGGCACACGACCCAGGATCAAACCAGGTGCTCTTCTGTTTTCCAAGGCAACACTCTGTCACGGAGCAAGAATGATTCTATGAAGCAGAAAGAGAAGTCCACACGGCCTCAAAAGCCTGACCACACACATACGAGCCTTGCCTAGCTTTTTCTTTGAAATATAAAGCCCTAGATGCCTCAGTGGCTACCGGTACAACAAAGAAATCCCAAGTTTTGATGGCAGGCTAGCTAGATCACACTCAGTGAAACAGTGGAAGACACATGCTGGGAAGGCTATGTGCTAAAGAGCAGCGGGAACCCTGCTGAGCTCTCTTGGTTTAATTAAGACCTACAGCACGAAACAGAAAGTTCCTTCCTGCAAGCGAAAACGGAAGGTGGGAGGAGAACATTATGGGATCATCAGAATACCAGGCTTAAACATGTTTTGGAGCATCGTGGCTCACAGCAGAGGCAAGCAAAGACACCTCCTCACATAACGGGCAATGTGACATCCAGCTGTGCGCCAGGCAGGCCCCGAGAAGGTCCTCCTAGCTCAACAGATCAACTACCGGCATTGTAGCACTCGCCTGAAGATTCAAAGCACCACTAGGCATCAAAGGATTCTCATCCAAGAAATAAATCTTCTCATTCATAGGTGATTTGCTGAGCCAAAAAAATGAAGGGAGGATCTCCTGACTCTGCTGCAACAGAAACACTTCCTTTCCAAGCGCGTTGGGCACCCCGGTCCCCCGGCCTTCGGGGCAGGTTTATCTGTTTATCCGCTTTCCTTCGTGTCCGTTGTTGGCACCACGCACTCTACCTGGACACTCCTTGGCGGAGAGGGATGGGGAGCCACAGGAGCGAGATATAAACCCGACGCAGAGACACGGCGGGAAGGTGACTAGTAACCTAGTGACTAGTAACCTAGTGACTAGTAACCCAGTCGCCTCACACAGTATCTGGGGGCTGCAGCGCTCTGGCCACCATCAGGCCCCTTTTCAGCCCAGAGTCACTCCAGGGCATCAGTTCCATACTGATAAGTCACAGCTCAGGCAGCAGCAAACAGCAGCCACAGGAAAGGAGGGCTGGACACCCACGCGGGTTTGGTGTTGGTGGACGCCTCAGGAATTCCCATCGGTTCACCCCAAAACTCTTTTCGGTTACCTCCCTGACAGCAGTGCTGCAGGGCTACACATTCCAGTGGTTATCTGATGAGAAGATCCCAGAGGTTAGGAAAAGGCCCCGCTCTGGCACAGGAGCTGCTAGAAGTGGTACACCCGGACATTCAGAGTTAGACAATACGCAAAGCAAACGCGATCCTTATCTGCTCCAAGGGCACAAGACAAATAAGACACGGGAGGTCACTGCATGTGTACACAGCTATCGCACAACTAACACCTCCAGTATAGTGTTACAGGAAGAAACTCGCTCCTCTGCCCGCTTTCTGCTGTTCTTTAACTCAAGGATGGGTTCCCAGGCCAGAGAGCGAAGCTGACGCAGTGCTCGAGGTGGAAATGAACAGGAACAGCTCCCAAAACTGAGCATAGTTGCCCCATTTCCTCTGGGGAAACCCTAAGGGCAACCAAACCAATGTGACTGAGCAACCTAATTAAACAATATAGGTTCCGTCTATGATCTAATAGGGAGATTCAGATAAGATGCATCTACTGCTCCTGTGCTGACAAGGCCGCTCACGGGGTCCTCATCTAGAGATGGAGAAAAAAACAAAACAAAACAAACAACCCATATGTGTCTGTCACATTCTTGGTCTCTGAAAGGATTTGCAGCAGTGACGCTCCAAGCCAGGAGGCCTGGAACACACATGCTGAAAGCAGAGCTCTACCCCAGCACGGAGCACGTTCCTGTGGGTGTGAAGTAGAGGAAAACCACTGAAACAAGCCCAAGAGCAGCCACCCGGGCCTGCACGAGGACAGCCCGGGGACACCGGCATCCCCATGGGTTACTGCGCTGGCAGAGCGGGGAGGAAAAGCCTCTTCCTCCAAAAACAATGATGTCACTTCAAGAAGGTCCCAAACCCAGCGCAAATGGCTATTTAGGGGACACAAAGAAGCCTGGGAAGTGCCCCCAACTCCTCGTGCAACCCGAGGATGCGGAAACACCCTGCATCTGGGGGGGTCCAACCGCCCCCTTCCGCCCTCCAGCCCTTGGGGTTGATAAACCCCCGCACCCACCTTGGTGTAGCCAACGTTACAGCCGGGCACAAGCCCCAACCCGGGCGAGTCCCGGCCCCGCACCCACGGTGTGCGGTGCGGAACCCCCCAATGCCCCTCACACAGCCCCAGCCCCATGGAAACCGCAGCACGGGGGGACACGGAACCCCCGCCCTGCACGAGCTCCAGCCCTGGGCAAGGAGAAACCCCCATCCCGGGGAGCCCCACACAACGCCCCGGCCGCGGGACCCCCGTATTTCGGGACGCCTCCGCCCCACACAGCCCCACAGCCCCGT